TCCTAAATACTGGAAAGAACAGCAAAGGAGAAGTCCCACATTAGTCCTGGCTATATCACTAACGAGTGACACTGAACAAGCCATTTTCCTCCCTGGAACTTCATATGTAAAATGAGGAGAGTTACATTATCTCAAGTCTCTCCTGGCTCTAGCATCTGTTGAAATTTATAAAACCTAGCCCCACCCAGTGTCTTAGACATCACAGGCACTCAGTAAATATTTGATTTGTTGATTTGAGTATTTTCTTTGTTGATTCTCCTGTTACACAGGAATTTGAGTTGTCTTGTAACATAGCGTGGAGAGAACAAGTAAAAGTAAAGTCTCTCTTCGTTCTCTGATGCCACAGGCATCCTCATTCTGGTGTCTGTGATAAAGAGGATGAAGCACTGAATTTAAAATTGCAAAGTGCTAATTCTGAACGGGGGCATTTATTTGGCTATGGAACTGTGACCAAGTCATTTCATTTTTTTTTTTTAAAGATTTATTTATTTATGCATGCAAGAACTGGGGTACAGGCCAGAGGTGTGGGGGGTGAGAGGATTCACCAGAGACAGTGGGGAACAGAACAGGAGGAATGACAGAAATACACTGCTGAGGGGAGCAGCCGGAGAGTCAGGAGAGGTCTGCTGTGCCATGTGGGTAGCTCCCTGGCCTCTAGGGATCAAACTCATGCTGCAGTGGCTGTGGACAGCTTCACAGGCTGTGTCTTAACCCCTTGCGCCACTAGGGAGGCCATGACCAAGTCATTTCTGAGTCTTAATCTCTGTACCCATAAAATAGCCATAGTGGCACTTATTTCCCAGACTTTGGGTCTTTTTATGCTATTCCCTCTGCCTGGAATGTTCTTTGCCTTTTCTCTACTAGACTAACTTTTGCTTATCCTTGTGATCAGCATGACTCGCTTTTTAATTTTTTAAAGAATTATTCCTTTAGGGCCTCCCCTGGTGGCGCAGGGGTTGAGCGCTGGGCTGCGAAGCTGCCTGCAGGCTCTGCAGCGCCGGTTCGATCCCCGGCCACCCCACTGGCGAGGGTCCCACATGGCACGACAGAGCTCTCCTGCCGTGCCCGCTGCTCCCCTCAGCAGTGTATTTCATCACTCTGCCTGTTCTATTTCCCACTCTGGCTCTGGTGAATTCTCTCGCCCTCCAGCGCTTCTGACTGTACCCAGTGCTTGTATAAATAAATAAATCTTAAAAAAAAAAAAATTTAAAAAAAAAAAAAAAAAGAATTATTCCTTTATTGTAAGATTTTTATTTATTTTTGCGTAGAATAACTGGGGTGTAGGCGGGTGGTGTGGGGGGTGAGAGGATTCACCAGAGATAATGGGGAGCAGAACAGGCATATCCCCTGAAATATACTGCTAAAGGGAGTAGCGGGAGAAACAGGAGAGGTCTGCTATGCCTTGTGGGTTAGCTCCCTGGCCTGGGAATTGAACTCAGGCTGCTTTGCAGTGGGAGGGCCATCGTAGTGGTAGTGCTGCCACTTAACCCCTAGGCCATCAGGGAGGCTCAGCATAACTTGCTTTTTAAAGGAAAGCAATCCTTATTCACTCCCCTAACTCCTGATGCACTCTAACAGCACTTATCTCAATTGTTTGTCTCAATTATTTATTTTTAATTATGTTTACTGAGGTAATGTTGATTTACAATACTGTCTGTTTTAAGGGTATAAGTTCACACCTCTACAAACATATGTTTGTTTTCTCAGTTACTATAGCATTTATCTCAACTATTACCTCTACTTACTGTTCATACCAGAACTGTAAGTACCACAAAGGTAGGTAGGGACTGTGTCCCTTTTATTCATCACTATACTCAGCACTTGGCTAAGTGCATGGCACAGAAGTATCCAATAAATATTCTTCTGGATGAATATATAAACTGAGGCTTTCATGCCACCAGACAGCATTTTGATTCACTCAGAAAATCTGCTATGAACTATTGCACTCTAAGAACTTTCACAAGTTTCTGAGAATCAAGGTTCAAGATAAGGAAGTTAAGTTACACAGAGTTTACAAGAAGTCACTGGAAATCATTTGAACTGAAAAACTCTGGAAAATAAATAAATAAAACAGAACGGGACAGGGATCTTTTCTATCCTTAGTCTTCTTTCTCCATTAGCCTATTATCAAGAATGAGGAGAAAATCCCATGCTCCCATGGTGAGGAAGTGACCCACTGGTGGCCTGGTTTGTATTCAGGATAGAGGAAATGACTGTCCCAGGCTAAAAGCAGGAAGGGGGGGGGGGCAGATATCCAGAGATATCCAGGGCAGCTTCCAAAGTCACAGCCTCAGCCTCGTGTGTGTTGCCTAGGAGGGGACTGCAGGTCCAGTTAACCTGATGAGGCTACAGTTTCCCCTTAGACAACTCTTCCTTCCGGAGGTGTTTCTTCACATCCTTTTTATGTCTCATGGAGGCCAAGAAGGACCCATCTTCCATGGAGGGGGTGGGGGGGGTCCAGAACCCCAGGGGTCCTACTTTCTCTTAAAGACTACTCCAATCTCTCCCTAACTGATCCGTGATCTAAACTCCCAGGAAGCCCAGACTCTAATTTCCTGCAACAGCCTCAACACCCAAGGGGATGTATCCAGGCACGCAGAGGTCGGCGTGAAGTCTTGGATTCCCAAGACTCCTCCACTTCCCACACAGAAAACCCAAAAGCGGGGGTAACTCTCCAGGCCCTCCTAATAGCATGGAAGCCTGAGGATCCTGCACTCCCCATATTCCACAAAACTCTCACTCCAAGAGAACCAAGGCCCCTCGGTTTCTTTAACTTGGGGACATACAGTTACCAGCTTCCCAGCAAAAACTGCCCCCCTGGGCCTCCCCGATGGCGCAGCGGTTGAGTGCTGGGTTGCGACGCTGCCCTTGGCCTCTGCAACGCAGGTTCGATCCCTGGCTGCTCCCCTGCCACCGGAGGAGGGTCCCACATGGCGTGCAGACCTCTCCTGCCGCCCGCTGCTCCCCTCAGCAGTGTCCTTCGGTCCTTCTGCCTGCTCTGCTCCCCGCTCTGGCTCTAGTGAATTCTCTCACCCTCCTGGGCTTCTGACTGTACCCAGTGCATGTATAAATAAAAAAAAAAAAAAATAAATCTTTAAAAAATATATAGGATCTTATTTAAAATTGTAACTTCAATGAATATATTGTTTCTTTTTTAAGATCTTTGTGTAATGTCTTTGGGAATTCCCGAAAAGGAATGTTTATGTACTTGTGTCTAAATAATTTCTGTGCCAAAAGAACAGTGATAAATGCCACACAAAGGAAATGACATTTTCAGGTTTTTAAATTAATGTACAAAGAAAGGAGGGAAGGAAGGTACTAATTTGTTACATTTAAAATTTAAATAAATGTAGAAAACAGATTAAATGACTGTAAATAAGACTTTAAAACTTACTTAACTCACTCAGTTTTATTGGTATCTAGCATCTATAACAACAGCTTTCAGTAGCAATTGAATATTTGCTGTGTACCAGGCCCAATTCTAAGCACTTTAAATGTATGCATATAATAATGCCTTGCTGGGGCCTCCCCGGTGGCGCAGGGGTTGAGCGCTGGGTTGCGAAGCTGCCCGCGGCCTCTGCAGTGCCGGTTCGATCCCCGGCTGCTCCCCGGCCACCGGAGGAGGGTCCCGCATGGCGCGCAGACCTCTCCTGCCGCGCCCACTGCTCCCCTCAGCAGTGTACCTCGGTCCTTCTGCCTGCTCTGCTCCCCGCTCTGGCTCTGGTGAATTCTCTCACCCTCCCGCGCTTCTGACTGTGCCCAGTGCTTGTATTTAAAAAAAAGAGTAGAGGGAAAGTTTTAAAAAAAAAAAACAAAAACTGCCCCCGCTCCCGGCAGACCCAGCACCCCTTCTTCCCCAGCGACCTCAACTCGCGGGAAATCACCCCACCCGCCTGCCCGCCGAGCCCGGCTCCCCCGCCCCCAGGCCCCTAAGTCCCACCCCCGAGCCGCCCGGAGCGCCGGGCTCACGGGGGCCGCTGAAGCCCAAACACCCCAGAGGCCGCCGGCGCCCCTCGGGGGCAAGCGCCCAGCTTCAGGACGCCCCTTCTTACCCTCCTGCGCCGCCATAGTCCGAGGGGCGCGGAAATGAGGGGGAGGCGGGGGCCGGAGCCGCGCTTTTCAGCTCCCGCCGCAGCCGCCTCAGCCCCACGAGACTCAGCCTCCAGCAGCTGAATTCAGCTTCCCCGTACGGTGCCCGGGAGGGCCCAACCGCACCTGGCACGCGGGCCCTCCCGCCGGCGCCCCGCCCCTCAGCAGCCCCGCCCGGCGCCCCGCCCCTCCGCCGCGAGGCCCCGCCCCCAGCAACCCCCCGCCCCCAGCACCCCCCACCCCCAGCGCCCCCCACCCCCAACAACCCCCACCCCCAGCGCCCCCCACCCCCAGTACCCCCCACCCCCAGTACCCCCCACCCCCAGCAACCCCCCACCCCCAGTACCCCCCACACCCCTTTCACCCCTCCTCACCCCCCACCCGCGTGCCTCCTAGCGACCGGCGCCTGTGCGGGTGACCCAGCTGTTAAGGGTGACTCTGTACACGCTGGAGGGCGCTACACAGAAGATGCATTTCACAGATGGGACACAGATGCATTTCACAGAAAACAGGGACAGAGCGAAGTGCGACTACATGCAACTGGCTCAGTTCATTAGGAGCTAAACTGGGGCGGGAATCCTTGTCTCCTGACTCCCTGTATGAATAGGGAGAAGCTCTATTCAAAACCACAAGCTTTGGGGCCTCCCAGATGGCACAGCGGTTGAGCGCTGGGTTGCGAAGCTGCCCGCGGCCTCTTTGGCGCCGGTTCGATTCCCGGCCACCAGCGAGGGTCCCACATGGCGCGCAGACCTCTCTTGCCTCCCGCTGCTCCCCTCAGCAGTGTACTTCGGTCCTTCTGCCTGCTCTGCTCCCCGCTCTGGTGAATTTTCTCACCCTCCCGCGCGTCTGACTGTACCCAGTGCTTGTATAAACAAAACAAACAAATAAATCATAAATAAAAATACATGCCTCTTAAAAACAAAACATAACAAAACCACAAGCTTTGGGGGGATTAAGGAAGGGCTTCTCTTAGAAGCTTCCAGCTCAGAGAAGCTGCTTCTCTGTACCATTGTAAGCTGACACTCAGATAACCTTTAGGTCAAAAATGCTATGGAGGTAATGCAACCCCAACCTGCATTCCAGAGGCAGATCATCAGTGAGGACAAATGGGTATAGAAATGAGCCCAGTACACTAGATCTTCCAACTTTTCAAGACTAGACAAAAACCAAGGTATTTAGGTGAACTTTTTCACTTTAAAAATTCTGATAATATTCTGAAAATGCCATGTGGGCCAATGGAAACATACCTGTGAACTGGACTTGCCCTGCAGGTTTCTCTGGAGAGAGCACTGGACAAGGAGCTAGGGCAGCTAACTTGTTTCTCGCCTTTGCTAGCTGATCCAATAGCCTTGGAAACCACTTTCCCTCTCTAGATTTGGGAGGGAACTGGGGTAATGAAGGGTAGGTCACAATGGCTGGTCCCTGAGGTCCCTTCCATGTAATTCTGTTATGCTGGATTTTTGGCAACTGTTATTTCTTAGATCAGATTTAGGTCATGGGAAAAGTGTCCAAGGGACTAAGAGGGGACAGGGATGGGGCTCAAGGAAATAGATCATGACACCCCCAAAGGACAAAGTTCAACCCGGCTGCTCGGATCTCAGCACTTGTGTAAGCAAAGGTGAACACAATTTTCTTTTCTCCTGCCCTGACCATGTACTTCAAACTGGATGCAGGTCAGATTTTTCTCCTCTGGGTGTGGCAGGTGGCTTCTGTTGTTCTGAGTGTGCAGAAAGTGTTGGGGGGAGCATGGGATGTACTTGACTTCCTTTAATTCCTGGGATCACTCTTCAGCAGTTGGCTTTACAGGGTCTGAGGAAATCTCTGCTAATTATAGATTGTGTACTGAATTAAAGTGATGGTGATGCAGGGGACTCCCCTGACAAACCAATTAATGGCTTACTAAAAGGGGGAGGGATTTTATTGACCCTGCAGTTGAAGAGGTTACAACTTCTTTCTCATGCATCCAGGCACTGGCAGCCTAGGAACCAAGCCTCCTGGGTATCTTCCCTCTTTCAATGCCTGGCAGCAAGGCACTCCAATCTCTTCCCCCTTCTCCCTTTCTATTTCTTTCCTACCTCCAACCTCATGGTCTTCACCAGTGTGTGTGGGGATAACCAACTCCCCCAAATCCCTCCCAGAGTCTAGGTAACTGAGAAATACAAGTTGAAATATAAAGGAAGAGAGTAAGTCTGTAAAAATGATATAATCAAGAGATCTGTTTCCAATATGGGGCCAGTCATTCCAAAATCACTTGTGAACTGGAGGAGGACTTATCGAGGGCAGAAAAGGCTTAGGCAGGTAGACCTTCTGGGTTTCCAGCACTCAAGTCACCTATTCAGTTTGATTACCTGACCATTGCTAATTCAGTCCTGAGCCCAGATCCTGTTGACTCTCAGCTCTCTGGACCTATAGAAATGAGGATCTGGACGCTGAAGACCACCTTAAGGTGCAGGTCCTGCTCTCCTGAAGGAACTGGTCTACTGGTCCTTAGCCAGACCTTGTCACTATCATTTCCAATTGCTTCAAATTGAGCTTCTTAGTCTCTCCCCTGCCCGAATCATCCCATCTAAACGGACTCATTAATCTTCCAAAATTGTTTCATCACCTCTCTGTTGAAAAATATTCAATAGCTCTCTAGTGCCTTTAAGACTACAGACCAGAAGATGGGGGCCTCCCTGGTGGTGCAAGGGGTTAAGAAGCAGCACTAGGAAGCTACCCGCAGCCACTGCAGCACAAGTTTGATCCTGACCAGCCAGGGAGCTAACCCACATGGTGCAGCAGACCTCACTGCTCCCCTCAGCAGTGTATTTCAGTCTGCCTGTTCTGTTCCCCACTTTGTCTCTGGTGGATCCTCTTACCCTCTAAGAAGCTCAGAACGGGTGAGACAGGAAAGGTTTGCCGCGCTATGTGGGTATCTCCCCAGCCAGCCAGGATCAAACCGGCGCTGCAGAGGCGGCAGACGGCTTCATAGCGCTGCACTCAACTGCCTGCGCCACCAGGGAGGCTTTAGTTTTTTAACTTTGCATTTCCTACTGTATCCAGGTGCTATTCAACTTGAATAACTGTTAGGTCAAAGTGTAAGACGTAAATGAGTTTCCTTCAGAGGGATGACCTGTGGCTCTGGAATGCTGGGGAGCCTCAGGCTGGGCCAACTTTGTAACCTCACCAACATCTCTCTCATACTCTGCACTAAAGGAAACTTACTAGTTACACACCCCCTGCTCCAAGTAGAGGCCCACCTGCTCACAGCCTAGAGAGGTAAGGACACTGAATAACCTGTGATTGTTATCAAAGCTCTTATCAGTCACAAGCTGAGCTTCAGTGTGGTAGTCTGCAAGCTTAGGTATTCCCCGCTTGTCAGGACTGGGCTGCCTATTTGGTCAGATTGAGCAGGGGACGTATAGGTCAGGTGCCCAGCCTACACTTCTCATCTCTAATTACATGGCTATCTGAAGACTTTCAGCCTCAGGTTGACATTCCCCAGGATGCACACACCAAAGGGCTTTCCAGAGGCCACAAAAGTGACTACTCCCCAATCCATTCACTCCCCCACATGACAGAGACAGGTTCACCGCTCATAGTAATGTAAAACCATTTGTTTAATTCTAAATCAAATCACTTTCACAACAGTGAAAATTAGTGACTGGTCAAGGTGTGCCACTGTACATGGTGCCATTTTCTGACTGTGGTTGGGACCTGGTCCTAATCCACAAAGGTGGCGAGAGGGGTGGAAGCCAAGAGCATAGAACACACACACACAAAAGAAAGAAAAACTGCCTTGACAGAGGGGATAGGTGATGGGCCTACAGTGGGTGGTGGGAAGGGGCTTCCCTGTTGGGACTGGGCCAGCAGTCCCAAGTTGGTTCCCTGCCCCAGCTCCTGGCAGAGGGTGAGTGGGGAGCTAAAAGGTACAAAATCAAAGGGTACATGGCCAACCTGGCTTTGCTAACAGGTTCCTGGGATGCCTTCGCTAGTGGAGATCCCGTGTGCTCACTCCATTTGAGTCCATATGATTGTCTTTTTACCCACAGCCCTTCTTGAAATACATTTCTATTGGGCCCATCTGAAGTCCCTTCTCCCACCACGAGGTGGGGCCACTGCACTGAGGGATACTACTAATCCTCTTGAACTGAGAAAACTCCAGGATTTCTAGGCAATCAAGAGTACTCTTGAGTGGGTGCCCCAAGAATGTTTAAAATCCATCAGACACACTGAAAACTGGTGGCTTTTTCCTGTCAAATGGATTCAGGAAACGAACCACCTATTCAATACTTATCATTTGTCTGTTTGAACACTGAACTCTGGCATTGACCCGAGCAAAGGGGAAGGGATGAGGGCTGTGAAAAAGAGGAGGATTTCCATCATCATCCTCAAGGTCTTGGTTTCCACTCGCTATACAGAGCCGTATCTGGAAAAAAGCACTAGGTGCGGCCTTCTACTAGTTGTTGACTATTGCTTTGTGAGAGACAGGAGCAGAATAAACTGGCAAAGTGACAGAGGCCCCCCTAGAGGAAGTATGTCTCCTCCTACCCCAGGGGTCTTCTGGAAAAGGCCTGACCTGCAGAGTGAAACCACACCATGAAGTAAATCATCTTCCTGCCTGGCACCACACTCCCTCAATCAGACTAGGAGGAAGAAGCTTGTGAAATCAAAAAACAAAATCAAGGACTTGGGAAAAAAATCAACTCCCCTGGGAATTTCCAGAGGAAGACTTCCACAGGAAGACCACATCATATCATCATGCTGGGGCTTCCCAGGCCCTGCTGCCTGGCTTTACAAATCATCCGGGATTGCCTGTTTTTGAATCACATGCTTCCCTGGTTCTAGCACACATACAAGAAGTTTTCAGGGTAATCCATCAAGCCATATGAAAATCAGGGTTACAATCCTGCCTCTTCATAAAGGACAACTTGGCTTCTGAGGAGGATAGTCTTCAACATGCACTGGGCTGACTTGACAAAGCCCCTGGTTTTTTTTGGGCAAGTCTGGAAATGTGGGGGGGAAGGGGTGTGGAGGGGAGATGCACTTGGAGCTTCTGTAGCTTTGGGGACAGGACTATTTGTTTCTGCATTAGAGGTCCAAATTCCGCGGGAGGCGGGACTGCAGGAGTCCCGCCTGCAGGTCTTTGCTAACACGCAGCAGTTAGTCTCAGCTTCAGCAATGATCAAGGCTGTGTGCCCTCTGGCAAGGAGGCAGAAGCAGATAGTTTTTTGGGGGCAAGTTAATGACAAATCTGTGAATGAAGTCACATGTCTCTGGAGATAATCTATGCCAGGAAACCAGAAGGTCATTCAAATCACTCTCGCGGGCCAAAGACACTCAGCATGGTCCAGAGTCATTAAAAGATCTTTGGGTCTCTGGTGACTTCATGAAGCAACTCCAGCTTCAGCTGCTGCAATTATGATCTTTATAGGACTGCAGTTTCTTGCATCTCTGCTAAGGAGGAGGAAGAGGAGGAGGAGGAGGAGGAAATAGGACAGACCAGCATTGGGATTTGGAAGGGAAACCTCTCGGCAGAGGAGCCCCACCAACTTAGGCATTTTACCAGGGGGTATTTAAAGAGATGAGTTTCCATAAGTATCATCTGGCTCACCCCTATGTTTCTGTGATATTAAACTCAGATGAAACTGTACTCTGACAGTGTCCTTCTTCCTGCCTCTTCCCCGGTTAGGACCTGCTGAGCGAGCTGGAACAGGATTTCATGGTGTCACCCATGAGAGACAACTCAGTATCAAGGCCTGAGGTTATAGCAGTGTCCACGCTCCAGGGTCCTCTTCAATTGGTCTTGAGTCCCAAAGCTCTGATGATGAAGACTCCTCAATGTGTTACTGACCCCACTGATTCCAAGGGTCAGGATTAGACAGGAAGCCAAACACCAAGAACGTGGGTGTGACGTGTCACCAGTCCAGAGGCCCTGCCATAGATGCAGGCTGGGAGGCCAGCATTAGGCTATTAGGAGCCAGAACATGATCACCAGGGCCACAAACAAGAAGAGGCGTGACAGGAACTGCTCATCCACGTACTGAGGTGTACCAGGGACAGCTGGAAGACAGGCAAGAGAAAGGCCATGAAAATGCCGTAGCTGTGCAACCATCCATTTAGGCCAGAAGTCAAGAGCATCAATCTGTATCCTACACACTAAAGATATCTAAATACCAAATGATATCAGATAAGAAAAAACTGGAATTACTTTCATATTTCATATATCAATAACTTATCCTAAGAGGGCTTGGTTTGCAAGTGCAAATAAGACAGAAATGGAGGTGGGGGGAGGCTGCTTCCTAAGTATTTCCCATGTACAAAGTGTTATGAACGATTTTTACTTGGTAGGTACTATTTTTGTTTGTTTGTTTGTTTGTTTATTTGCTATCCTTTATTGAAGGATCCCACACCCTCAGGGGACCCCAGCCATACCAGAAACCAGAAAGGTCCCCCAAATATAGGAGGCCTGAAGGGAAGGAGAATGACTCACGATCCCACCACACTGGAAACAGAAACCCTTGGTAGGTACTATTATTCCCAGTTTGTATAAGGAAAAATCTAAGCACAGATATGAGAGTGTGGCCTGCCTAAGGTCATGAGAGTCGTAAGTTAGTGGCAAAGCCCCACTGTTGTGCTCTCAGTCTGTCAGAACACAGCCTCCTGAACCAAGGAGTCTGCAGGTTCTGGCACTGTTGAGCCAGGAGGGATCTAAAGGTCACCACAAGGAGTGCCTTCATTTTCCAGAGAAGAGAACTATGGCCTAGAAAGGAAATACGACTTCGCTTCCTCGCAGCATTGCAAACTAGGGGCAGAAGCAGGCTGAGAACCTGGGTCTCCACTTCTCTCTGCTTTAGTTACTACTTAAAGATCCCTGTTCCGACTGTGTGGAAAGGAGAATCTACATCCAGCACCGGCAAACTGTACCCAACATCACAACAGGTCCTATCTTTCCTTCAGAGCAGGACACACTCTTATCTTCTGGGGTCTCCTTCTTCTGAGAAAACAATGTGTGAACAGAGGAGAAAAACTTTCGAGGTAGATGAGGTAAGGAAGAACACTCCCAACATTTCTTGGTGTTTTACTGTTGCTCTGGGATGATGGATTCATGCAGGCAGGCAAGCAACAAAGACTTACAGATCGCCTGCTAAACGTGAAGCACCAGGATGGAGCAAGGAACCACTGGGATAATCCAGTAGGAGGCTTCTGTTTCTAGAGCTTAAGCTCCCAGCGAAGTCTGTGCACTGAATCCTTCCATGCCTCGCACAACCAGCACACAAGGCTCCAATGAGTGCAAGCAGAGCTCAACCAACCATGGCACCTTGGGAAGCTCTACGGTAAGAATCTTGGCCCAACTGTGATAGAGTATAAACACCCACCTCATTGCCCTGCTTATCATTAAGTGGGGGTATATGTGCACAGGATTTAGGCTGTCCCTCGGATATGGTTTATAATTTTAAATTTTATGGTATGTCTTGGGTAACATTATTGAACATTTTCTGATTTGTAGAGTTTTTTGCTTTTTGTTTTTTTAGAGAAGGAAAAAAGGAAAAGAAATAAAGTGGGAGTCCCAGGCTGGTGGAACCAAGCCAGGAAGGGGCAAGGAAGCCTATAGAGTACAGTTTAACCACACATTTGTCCCATAATCTTATTGCGAGGATCCTGAGTTTGCACTGGAAGGCACTCTGAACATGCTTAATATATGGCAAGTATGGAATATTATGATCATGTATACCAATACTCTAAAAAGAATTGAGCACATTTTGAAAAGGCTGATTATCCCTGTCATGACAATTATATATAACCTACATACTGCCCAATTCCAAGGAGTTCACAAGCAGGATTACTAGGAAACATGAATTCACCTGGGGGAGGCCGTCCATCGTTAATGTTAAATGCTGTGGCAAATATCCCAAAGGGAAATGCTCCAATCCCAAAAGACATCTGGAAGCCACCATCTCCAAATCCAAAACCTTGAAATCCCTGAGGAAGAAATAAATTAAGAAGACTGACAAACAGATTTCTCCTGCGACTGTCAAATATGTCACCTTACATACGGCGCCCACCTCCCAGGTCTAACCTCTGCCACCTGTTTCTAAAGGAAACATCTTTTCTTTTCATCTCAACCTTCTAGCCTTTCAGAGGTCCCAGCTAAACAGTGGTGAATGCTAGAAAGGACTGGCTCTGACCCAAAATAAAAACTTTGTTGATGCAACTCAGAATTCTTAGAGCTCCAAGTCCTTTCCCAAAGTCCCACACTAGCCAGTAAAATTTTCTACACGCTTTGTAACAGCAAAACTGGCAAATAACCCCTACGTCTAATGACAAGGGGATGTCAGAACAAGCTACACATTACCTGTAATAGCAAAAAAGTGAGACCCTAATTAGGCAACAACAGAGGTCATGATCAAATCTTAATACATGCTCAAAGTCACACAGAAAAGCCCTGTGAGCAAGTCATCAGAGAAAACTTTGAACACCACGGTCACAAGTACATGACAATAAGTAGGTATGTGTAGGTATCTTCCATCAACATTTTTTTCAAAGATTTATTTACTTATGTATACAAGAACTGGGGTATAGGCCAGAGGTGCAGGGGTGAGAGGAAATCACCAAAGACAGAGTGGGGAGCAGAATAGGCGGATCTACTGAAATACACTGCTGAGGGGAGCAGTGGGTAAGACAGGAGAGGTCTGCTGCGCCATATTGGGATCTTTCTGGCTGGCCAGGAATCGAACCGGCGCTGCAGAGGCTGCGGATAGCTTCACAGCGCTGTGCTCAACCCACTGCACCACCAGGGAGGCCCAACTACTGTGCAAATCTTACAAAAAATTTGTCTTCCCTGCGTCCCTGGGTAGATTTTTAGAACAGATCATTAAAAAATAATCAAAAAAAAAAAAAGAAATATTAAAATATTATTGGGCCTACTGCTTTCCACAAAGAGCTGATTGGCTTTCATTTGGGAGTCTTTTGTTAGCCATAAAACTGGTTGCTTCTTATCTCACACAAAGCAGACTTGAATCTAGCTCTGAACTTTTTTCTCAGTGTCACTACCTATAAAGCCTAACAGCTGACTTAATAAAAGTAAACCTATAGGGAAGGAAAACAACTGGTTTCCATTCTCCTCAGTGCAAAAATGGCTCCGTCTCAGAGCCATCATGGTGGAGTCTGAGGGCTCCTGGGACCAAGGCTACCTTACCCAGGAAAGCGCAACTGTTTCATCAGTGCACTTCTTTATTCAGTGCAATTCTGAGGACTGACCCCTAACCATCTAAGCAACACCTACATACAATCCTGTAAGTCCTCACATTTGGTGGGTTTATGTTCCTGGGGCAGAGCAGGTGAACAGCATGAATGGCAGCCGCAAGTGCCCACACATACTAGAGGTGTGCCTCAAGGCCAGGGACTCTGGCTTCCTAGGGTCACTTATTCTGGGGTTGGGAGGTAATGTTCTGGGAGGGTCTGGAGCCTGGGGTGGTTCAAGTGGTGTCTCTTGTGAGTCAGGAGCAGTGATCTCAGTACCAGTCAGATCTGGGTTTCAATCCTGTGTGTCCCTGAACCAGTCACCCAATCTGGGCCTTGGTTTCCTCTACTGTTAAATGGGTTGATGTAAGGCTTAAATCACATTGTACCTATAATGCCCTTAACATATAATTTTTGCATGTAATAATCATGAACAAGTGTTCATTGCTATTATTATTAAGGATAATCTGGAGAAGAGACCCCCAATTTCTATCACAATCTCTAACTCAACAATGCTGCCCTTGGGAATCCTAAGAATCAAATAAGAAAAAAAAATATATATGCAAAGATAATCAATGTAGCGTTATATACAACAGCATAATCTCGAGACAACTAAAAGGTCCTTTACTTAGGAAAATCTTAATTATAATGCATCAAAATTCAACAGATTAAATGGTAGCCTTTAAAAATAAAGTGATATTACACAGTATCATGGGAGATACTAAGTTTTAAAGCAACAATAGTGATGGCTACATAAAAATACATATACATAAGCACTTTGTATTCAAAGTATGAAAATAAGGAAATGAAAATATAATTGTCTAGGATTATGGTACTATGGGTAAATATTTTCCTTAATTAAAACTTAAGTATACATATGCACCTATTTATAAAATTCACACAAATAAATGGATCTATAAAATTTGCATGACAGAAAATAAAACAGACCAAAATGTTTTTAGTGGTTATTCTCAGATGGTCTGATTATAAGTGATTTGTTTCCCATTTTTTCCTTTCTGTATTTTAAAGTTTTCTTTTACTTTTATAATCAAAGAGGGAAACCTCTAAAGGCACAGGCTCATTTGTGGAAGTTTCTCCTAGAATGTTCCTTACCCCTCTGTTCTCTGGTTCTGGCCTCTGACCTTGAGGACGGGGTGGGGTCTTCTCTCTGAAACAGAAACAGTGTAAAATTAACCTATTACAAAATGCTTTGAGTTGCCCCCTGAGTGGAGTGGAAGTTCTTCACCAATAGGCCATTGCTCCCTTTTCTGTCCAGCACTTATGCCAAATTAAACCAAATACTAACTCATCTACCAGCGATTGTTTTTCCCAACTATATAGAAAAACAGCTTGTAATGAGATTTTTATCAGACTATACTATAGCTACTTCTTTCACAGATAGGTTCAGCCAGAATGGTTATGGCTCCCAGCCAGATACCCTTCTTGGAACTGTGTGAGGCACAGGTCACCAATTAAAAAAAAAAAGTCCTAAATCCAAACTGAAACAGAGGATGCCCTGTCAGCTGAGGGCGCTGAGATTCAGGATTTCTCTGATTTGCTATTACTAGAGGTTTAGCTCCCACTATTCTTGGGCAGGTACTCTATTCTCTTGGCGTCTGGGTCTTGGCCCCTTCCATCACTTATCCCACAAATTCTGGACTGAGGGTTTATTACCTATCAGGCACTCAAAAGGACACTACAAATACTAAAGCTGATGACCTCTACTTTTGAGGTGTTCATGTTTTATTATTTTTTAAATCTTTTTTTTAATGCATACAAGAGCTGGCGTACAGGCCAGAGATGTGGGGGGTGAGAGGTTCACCAGAGTGGGGAACAGAACAGGTGGACTGACTGAAATACATTGCCGAGGGGAGCAGTGGGTGAGACAGGAGAGGTCTGCTGTGCCATGTGGGCTGCTCCCTGGTCCGCTGGGGATCGAACTTCGCTCTGCAGAAGCTGCGGATTGCTTTACAGCGCGGTGCTTAACCCCTTGCGCCACCAGGGAGGCCCCGATGTGTTCATGTTTTAAAGGTAATTACAATCAATCATAATACATGTGGGAAGGGACTTCTTTCATAGAGGTATGAACTAACAGGTAAGAGCAACTAATGTGTGGAAGAAACACCACTCCTTCAAGGAGGAGGTACTTTGGAGCTGCTCATTAAAGACAGGCAGAAGTTAAAGGAGGTAGAAGTGACTGAGCAGATCTGGGGAGAGTAGAAGAGACAGAGGAGAGCAACTACAAGGCCTCATGAATGTAAAAGGTTAAGTTCCTTTAAAGAAACTTCCTTATGCCTTAGGTGTCCAACATGTACAGGGTATGCTGGGCTGGGCTGAGCAAAAGTAACAGAAGGCAACTTCATTGCCGGAGAAGATGGGAAGAAGTGCCAGACCATCTTAAGAAGATTCTCAGTATTTGTGTTTATAGAATGCCTGACCATCTTTACCTTCTTTTCTAGAAATCTCAAACTACAAAGTCTCTCAGACCCTCTGTTCACCATTCTGCCCCCACACTTTATATATCACTGCTGCAATAACCCCATTCCTCACAGATTTTCTTGTTGGAGATCCTGCTTCCTAGCACTTTGTGCAATTTCCTGCCTGCTGGCAGACATCCAGTAGACATCTGTAATATAATCCAGCAAGAGGCAACTTGACACACCTCCCCTCCTGGCTGACTCCCATCTGGATCCCTATTGCCTCAGAACTAAGGTTCTGCAAGTACTAAGTAAAGGGTGTGATGAGGAAGTGCTGAATGGAAGTGAGTTCACACCCAAGAGGGGGAATGGGTGTAAGCGGTACCCTAAGGGCTCACCTTGGGTCCTGCTGCCCAGTACTGCCTCTGCCATAGAGGGGGATGACCTTGTCTCGGCTGATGCCGGCTTTGCAAACTGGACACACCTGTCTGTTAGGCCTGGTCTCCAACCACTGCAAACAGGAGAGAAAAACACATGAATGGCCCAAGCCCCCCACAGAGCCATCAGGAAAACAACATGAGCCAGAGAAACAGCAGCACAGGCAGGGAAGCTCTCAAGGAACCAATTTTGATTCCTTTTCCTGGTACTCAATAAATATTTACTAGTGGTGCAATCAAAATTGCCTTCAAACACCACCATAATTAAATAGGCTTCTTCATGCCTCATTCTCTCCAGGGGCTCTCAGCAACAGAGCAGGAAGGAACTATAAGCCTGGAATTATGTCAACAGACCCAGTCTCAGTTTAAATTTTGGTGGAGATAAAACAAACGTTAAATCTTCACCTTCCCTGATGAATCAATTATATTATCCTAGATGTCTTCTTTTTCTGTGATTTCTCATTTTGAAAGCATTTTCCATATATCTAGACATAGCTGGCCATTTTCTATATGCTACTGGCCATTTTCTATATACTATAGGATAGATTTTTATTATCTAAATTTGCTAAATTTTATTTATTTTTTTTTTTTAAGATTTATTTATTTATGCATACAAGAACTGGGGTGTAAGTTGGGGAGGGTGAGAAGATTCATGAGAAAGTGGAGAACAGAACAGGTGGATCTACTGAAATAGACTGCTGAGGGGAGCAGCGGGCGAGGGAGGAGACCGGCGCCATGTGGTTTGCTCCCTGGCCAGGGATTGCACTCTTGCTGCAGTGGCTGATGATAGCTTAATAGCACTGTCTTTAACCCCTGCACCACCAGGGAGTCCCAAATTTGCTAAATTTTAAAATGTACTTTCGCTGATTTTTGGATTCTACTATTTCTCTCAATAATAAAAACACCACAATTCTATTTTGGATTTCCCAGGTCATTCTAAAAACATTTCACTTTTCTAAAAACAGAATAAAATGATAAAACAAATTACCTGTAGTGCTTTTACAGACATGAAATAATTTGTGTTTGTGTATGTATGTGTGTGCACATATACATACATCAACATTTATCATAGAATATTTAAAAATTTTATACCCTGTTTCCATTATCCTACTCTTGAAAGTGCCAAAATTTGTGTCATGAGCTCTTCATAAATTTATATTTCACCAGGTTCCACTGGCATCAAAATGCACAGCTCTGAACATAACAGGAAGCCCTCTGTTGTTGCTCTCATCTCTCTCCTCCCCCACCCAGATTCTGAGGCTCTAATGGTGGGGAATTCTTGTTCTCCCACACACACCTACTTGTATGGGGCTCTACTGCCAACAACTGTGGGGACAGTCTGTTCACAGTGATTATTCACAAGTAGCTGTAAATGTCAGGGCCTGCTCTGTCTCACAGCAAGCAGGTCCCTGTATGGTGACTATGTAATAAATAGTTCTCATATTATCAAAAGCTGGGCAAACTTTTGTCCCTTTGCAAAAGACCTATTGATACCAAAAATGTTTCCCCTTTGAAATATTTTCAAGATCTTTAAGGGTAGGCGGATTGTTGATATGATAAGAGTACTTTATATAGAGGCAAAATCTCAAAAATAAAAACCTTACATACTATCAAATCCGACCCAATTTATAAACGAGGACTTGAGACCCAGAGAGGTGGTGGACTGCCAAGGCCCTGAAGGCCATCAGCAGCAGTCAGGAGGCTTCAGAGAGCCACACTGATCTCATTTCATCAAGAGCCTGTCAGTGAGCAGGTGTGTAAAGAGGGTTGGGGGAAAGTAAGTAAATGAACCCAAGCAGGAGAGACTGCAGCTTCTGACAGCAGTCTCCTGAGATTAGGGGTGTCTTGTGCAATCATAGCTGATGAAAGACAAAGTAAAATGAAATACAGCTTACCTGATGTAAACACGGCCAACTGCCAGAGTCCCCAGGGCAGCCAGTCATCAAGGAGAAAGAGAAAGGGAGAAAAGAAGAAAAATGCTTTCATTAGCAGAATATACAGGTAAAGGGTAGGGGTGGGGAAAAAAAATATGGAAAATGTGAAGTACTACAACCCACTGAAGGTCTGTGGGTATGGATCACTGGTGTCAGAAATTAGAAAAGACTGGGCTAAAATCACTCTCAGACTCAGTTTCTGTACAAGTCAACTTCTGAGAGGTTATGGTCTCTGGAGAAATCCAATAAAAGCTAAGGAGACTGTGCAAAAAAATATGTGGGGGCATACACACATGTACTGTTTGACTCAATTTTACTGGGTTCAGAGCCTCCTCATGTTCATAAGGAATGTGTGGTGCCAGCTCTTGATCTTGATCCAGTTTAACAATGTTAATAATCTCTAGGTTATCCTCAGCTTTGAGAACTATGCTGGGAGGAAGTAACTTAAAAGTTCATATATACTGTAAAAACATCTTCCAGTAATGTAAAGGATGGGGATGCTGCTTGGCAGTAAGTGCTGTTTTCAGCTTAGTGACGTATAGAAATTCCTGCCCAATCTCTCACTTTTCAAACGAAGAACCCAATCTCAAAAAACTTGAAATGACTTGCCTACAGCACCAGAATTGAAAAATTAAATGACCTGACTTCTAGCTTACTGCTCCTTTTATCACGCAGTACTGGATACAAAAAATGTTATTTACAGAACTGAAGGACAAGTTCCTCACTCTATCTCCAGATTTTTAATTTTTCTTTCATTCTTGACTGTTTCATCTATTTGCTCATCTAATACATACCTACTATAACCTACTATGTGCCAGGATAGAGGAAAGGGTAAATATGGTTTCCACCCCTCACATAACACCTCTTCTACTCTCACTGAGTAAAATTTAGACTTGGAGGAGAATTCCTTTCCTAATTCCTGAATTGCAGTTTACCCTCATAACTCAGATCTGAAAACCCTGGAGACAAAACAAACACCTGGCATCTGACTCCATCCATGTAATGCCATTTAAATTGAGCTGAAGGCACCCCCAAAGCCTGGCAGATCTCCACTGGCAACTTTCCTCAAAGGCTGTGGGGGAGAAGTAGTGGTAACTTCCCCTTAGGGGAAAGTTCAGGAGTTCAACAATGATAGTGCTCACTCATTTATCAAGCAACTACTATGTGCCAGCTGTGGCTGACTTATGTCTTTTGTTAATATCACTGGACAGTAGGCTCTGAGAAAGTGCAACTTTACAGTAGATTTGCCCAGGGACAAACCACCCACTGACAGCATCTCTGTTATTTTAGAATCTGTGTTCTTTCCTATGGTATCCTAACTCTGAATTCTTCATTTTGACACTCATTTCAAGTCCTGGTTTTATGACAACCCAGAATATCTGCAATTTCTAGGACAGGGTTGATAACAGTTTCCGCAGAAATCTTACTGATTAGGGCAACAATCTCCAGAAAAGAAACCTTTGCCCTATTCTATTCATTTACCAACAAATTTCTTTCACACTGTTGCCAATTTAAACTCCCTTTAGATGACCCCTTCTTCACACCACTTCCCTGCTCAAAATTATTCCATAGCTTGATTTCCTACTCAGTCAAATTGGGGTTTGGTAATCTGGCCCTACACTCCCTTATAACCATTCTTGTTTCTTAACATTCTCCAACCAGGGCACCATTATTCTTGAATACAGAGTAGCCTCAATGTTTCAGATGAACCCAACAGCGCATATGCTTGGCCCTAGCAATTGCCTGCCTTGAGGTCGCACATACTATTCACCTTACTAGCACTGTCAATTCAATTCATCTTTCAAGGTACAGCTCAAAGTTAAGAGAAAAGTAAATCAAATCTCAACATTCATCCAATTCTCAGGACCAGGAGGGGTTTCTGTAACCATGGAGACTGAAATGGTACCACTCCTGCCATTTTACTATACATAAAATACAATGACAGTTATTTGGATCATAGCTAACACATAGTATTTACCCATAGTATGTGCTTTTCTAAGCTTTTTGCCTATTTTGAGACATCTAATGCTCATAAACAAACCTGTTAAATAAGGCAATGTTTGGTAATCACCTTGCACAAGGTCATCCAGTGGAGAAATGGTAGAACCCGGATTCAGAACAAGGCAGTCTGGTTAAACAGTCCTTACTCATAACTACTGTGCGATACTGCTTCTTGGCTCAGCACAGCAAGTGCACATGGTTAGTACTCACTAAATGGTGGCTATCATTACTTTAGAGCCCAAAATAAGGACAAGACTTGCATAAGGTCACTCAGTTCATGAGCAGCAAAGCTGGGATGAGAACCCAGGTCTCCTGCTTGTTGGGTCTAAGTTAATCAAGTCCCAATGTGGTGGGAAACCATGTGTTCCAAAGCTGCAATTCAGCAGTATGTCCTCTGGGGCAGTGGTAGGGGTACTGACCAGAAGAGGTGGCCACACAGGCTGATGACGGCATCCTTGGCTGTGTCCAGGCAGATGTTGCACTCAAAGGTGCTGTCCTGACCTCCGCTCTCTCCAGCACCATTGCCGCTGGGCCCCCCTGCACTGGAGTTCTCAGGGGATGCAGAGGCTGAGGGCCCCTTGCTTGCCATCCTTGGCTGTCAGTAAACTCTGAGCGAAGATTCTCCCCAGGGAAATCCTAAAAGGCAGAGAGTCCTTGATTGCCAATTTCTGCAGTACGTTCCTCAGAGTCCATGCCAATAGCCCCATCTGCCCTCAACTCCTGAAGTTCAGATTATGACCGAACCCCTGAGCAGAGGTCCCAGAGCCTACAGAGGATGACAGTCACAGGGCACTACCTAGAAAGCATTGACTCAAAAACTTCCTAAGAACATGATCCAGAATGTACTACAGCAATCACAAGCTGTGGCACTATCTTTCTTGACCTTACATCCTTCCAGGGTAACCACCCCAGGTGGTAAATACAGACTCAACCAAACTGAACATTCACAGGTTGTCCTCTGACTCTGGACAGCTTCTACTTGGTAGTGATCTGCTCGGGTCAGAAAATTCTGATTGGTATATATTAGAATATAAGGAAAACCCTGCAGCTGTAAGAGGTTAGGAAGTTAAGAAGGACCAGGGAGGTCACCTAGTCCTTTGTCTTCCATACTGCAATCTTTTGCATTCTTCCTTCTGCCACCCACCTTATGTTGTCTAAATCTACCAACATTTAGCCATAATATATTTAAGGAGGGGGGTTTCTATCACTGCTGTAAACAAAAAACAGTATTACTTATAAATAAAATGTACATGTAAAAAGCTATGATGGAAAAGTTGTCTCTCCTCATAACCCCTGAATCATCTAGCACCTCAAGACCATGCTTTGAACAAACTTGACCTAGTCCAATCTCTGTAGGAAACTGTGGTCAAAGACCTCTCTGCTAAATATTGTGGAGGCAAGACTGGGATTTACGAAATCCAGTTTGTATTCAAAGCACTATACCACCACAGACCATGCTGGCCACCAAATGCTGGGAGAAACAGATCACTGTTTACTACCACCCCCAAATCAAAGCGAACACCAGCAGTTCAAAGAAGACAAGAGCTACTCCAGGGGGTACTCAGAAATTCTGGGTGGAGACTAAGAATCTGTCAAGAGTCTGATCTGGCAACCTTCACCGACTCAGAAATTCCAAGCAAGAAATGCTGGTTGGGTATCCGAGAACCAGTGGTTTGGACAGTAGCTTTTCAGTTTGGTAGATGGTTACTGGAAACTCTTTTTTCCTCTCTGGGCCACAATTTTTCGTCTGTAAACCGAGGCACTGGACTACATGGTCTCCTAGGTGTCCCTATCCAGCTCTGAGATTGCTGCTCCAGATATCTCACCCACTCTCCAAAGAAGGCATCTTCCCCACAAGTCTGGGACTCACCACTGGAGCTCAGAAGACCCCCTTATTTCTGCTTCCAAAGTATGATAAGATAAGGACCAAAAAGCAACAGTCTTCTCAGACCAAAAAGCCTTCCTACCGACTCAGTACTCTGGACTCACGAGCATCCCTCTCTACAACAGCAGCTCAGAGACTTGAGCAGGGAGAGAAGACGGGCTCTCCGCCACTTTTTCACTCAGTTACATCATTTTACGTAATGTCCCAGAAGGGCAGCTGGCTGCTGGCAGCACCAGGGCCTTGATGGCCTTGACTCCAAGACTTTCCCCCTGACCTAGTGCTTCCTCCTCTCAATACATATGTGTTCATTTCTTCTTAGAATGGAGCCTGCTTCTGAGGGCTGCATTATGGCCCTTCTTCATGGTTCCAGCTCATGTGCCTGACACATCTGTTTCTCTAAGACAAACAAATAATAAAACCCTAAAACCACTTTAAAAAATTAAGGACTGTGTACAAATGTAGAAAGACAACTGTAAACAACAAAAAGACAATCAGGTTCACAGATCAATCTCATTGACAGTCTCCCAATGTGATGTAACAGGAAGCACACGGAACCAACAATGAAGCACTCTTGAAACAGACTAATCCACCAAGTTTCTAAAACAAATTATATGTTCATAGACAATATAGTGCACAGATGTATGTGTTAAACAATGCCAGGGGGTTGGGGTTACAATCAGAAAATGCAGAATGTGATACTTCTGATAGAACCCAAGTTCTCAAAAAGAAAAAAAAAAAAAGTATGCACAGGGCATGGAGTTTTACAGATGGAAACTTGAGGCATACCACTATGGCACTGTGTGGCTCTCACTGGAACCAGACTGAAAGAAAATTCTAAGAAGACATTTGTGAGATGCTTGACAAAAACTGGAGTTAGCCTGGATATTTGATGATATTAGGGAATTACTGATAATTTTATTGGGTATGAAAATGGCATTATGTGGTGTTTTTAAAAAATTCTCAGCTGCTAAGGATACATAAGCACTTATGAAGGGGTGACAGACGTTTGGGATTTACTTTAAAATACTACTGGAGAAAAAGTCAAAGTTGAGAGAAAAGAACTGGGAAGTTGAAAGTTGTTGAAGTGGGATGATGAATGAGGGTTCAATGTTTGCTTTTGTATGTACTTGTAATTGTCCATAATAAAAAGCATCTTTAAAAAAGATCAGTTTTGGGCCTCCCTGGTGGTGAAAGGGATGAAGCACAGCACTGTGAAGCAATCCACAACCTCTGTAGCACGAGTTCAATCCCCGGCTGGCCAGAGAGCAACCCACATGGCGCAGCAGACCTCTCCTGTCTCGCCCGCTGCTCCCCTCAGCAGTGTACTTAGGTCAATCTGCCTGTTCTGTTCCCCACTCTGTCTCTGGTGCATCCTCTCACCCCTACCCCCAAGCCCTGCACTTCTGGCCTGTACTCCAGTTCTTGTATGCATAAATAAATAAATTAAAAAAAAAAAGATGATCAAGTTGTGGAAGAATATATATATATATGGATTTATCTGGGGAAAAACAAAATATATATAATACATACACACACACAAGCAAAGCAAATGTTCAGAAGGAATAAAATAAATTATTAAAAGCTAGTTTTGGATTATGAGGGCTAGGAACTCTAAATTTTATATTCTTGCTTTGGTTTAATATTTTATGACAAGCAGGTGTTAGTTTTTTATATTAAGGTTTTAAAAGAAGGAAACTGTAAACAAGCACGTATATTATAATATTTGTTATACTGATAATGAATAAAAATATTAGAAAATCTCTTTTAACAGATTTTTTTGGTATGTGGAAAAACATACCAAGCTGTGAATAGTGCCGCTGTATTGGTGGGGGCTTAGAAGTAGTGACTTTTCCTTTCTAAGTCGCCCCCATTTACAAAACTGCAAAGTTTACATATGTTGATTTTGAAGTCATACAAAAGAGAAACAGTACATTTAAAAATGGTTCCCCAATATTGCAGTTTCTTCCTATTTTGAAAAACTGGCTCCACCACTAACTAGTGATGTGGCCCTGGATAGATCCCTTGAGGATCCAACCCTCTTTTCTCACTTGGTAAGTGAGCCCTGCCTCCTGCAGGGCTGCCGAGGTAGTCCTGTGAGATAACACAGTGACCTGGAGGGCCTGCAAGGTAATAGGGGATTGTGCTGCCTCTTACCATGGTCCCCTGCCCTCTCCACTTCCCGGACACACCAAGGTTCTCTTACCCATAGGCCTAAGGGGACAATCAGGGTCAAGGAAGATATCAGGGTAAGAACGGTTAGGAGCCAGTAACAGGTGAGCCCAGAGTTTACACATACAGTAGCCACGTACCAGTAAGGAATTAGGATAGGCCTGCTTGTCCTAACTCAAAGCAGACCACATACCCTCACTCTAATTCTTAGTAGACTGACCATTTGGTCCCTATGTGGACTCTTGAGACATCTTGATAGACACTCAATTATTTGCTGAGTGAGGGGGTGCAGGCATACATGACTGAGTTTGGTCAAATCCCAGGCTTGATATTCACAAACCTCTCTTTGCAATAATTCCTGGGCCTTGGTGCTGCATACCTATCCCGGGAGCCTGCTTTCATCTCCTTCCCACCCTCATACAAGGAACCTCACCACACCAGGGCAGCATGGCAGAGATGAGCAGTCTTCTCTGGGGGCTGTCCATTGAACATGTGCAGAACAAGAGAATGTGGCCACAGCCTCAAGGGACAAGAAGGATGAGGATAGTGGTCTAGAAGATAGAGGACCCTAGTAGGTTCAGGAACTGGACAGAGTAAAAAAAGAAGCAGATCCTTAGCATGAGCATGCCTATACTACCAGCCTACTGAAATCTTTTCGGCTCTCTATAAGGCTAAAGGACTTTGACTTGATCATACGACAACCCTGTTCTGTGCCCCTGACCATTCTTCACTCCTGACATGAATCCATTTTCTAGTTTTAAAAGCACGTCTCTTTGTATTACCAATTCTGATCCTGACTCCATTTTACAAAGGAAGACATCAGGCCAGGGAGGTTAGAGGACTTGCCCAAGGCCATTGTGCCAAATTCAGACTTCCCAATACAACATCAGCATTCTTATCACTCTTACACGTCACCCCTTTAACATTCAGCCTTACAAAATTAAACACCTGGTCTTTGTTTTCCCTCAAATACATCATGCAAAACTGAAACTTTTATGTTCTCTGAAGTAAAGAACAAACCCACTACTCATTCACTTACTCATTCAACCAACAGATATCTTCAATACCAACTACATTTAAGGTCTGGTACTACCAACTGTGTGCGTGGGTGTGGGGGGTAGGTGGGGGTCACAAAGAAGAGCAAGATCAGTTTTAGTTCCAGGAGTCTAGAATAGGAGATTAGGAAGACACATGGATAATTATAAGACTTATTAATCATCAAACTTGCTTGTATTTCCTAAATAAGACACCTTCCCATGGATCTGGTTCCCAGACCCTTTCTGTGATTTATATAGGGTCTGAATCTTAATCAAGAAACTATATTTTTTGATAAGCATTCCCACCTTCCACTCCAGATAGTCTCTGATGAAAAGTTTGGAAACTCAGCTCTTGAAGAGGAAAATTCTATCAAAAGCACAAAGTGTTACAGCACAGTACAGAGTTCAGGTGGGTCAGTAACCTCAGAGACTATCCTTTGGAATGCACAGTTCTCAGCTACAATCCACAGGGAGTGGGGAGAGGTCAGATAAACTTGGGGATGGGGGTGGAGTAGGGAACAAGTCTGCTGCGATTTCCAACCACTAGCACCTGGTCCACCTGGAACAGAGTGGACAAATTAAGAAACAAGTTCACACCCAGCTTTGAAAAACATTACTAAATTTGAGTTCCTAGGGCAGCACACGTGGTGATGGGACTAAGGCAGATTTGTAATGCATAATGATCCCTCAGGAACGCAGGGCTGACAGCTGAAGTTGACCAAGCCAGCAGCCTCACTCCTATTACCTTCCCAGGGCTGGCCTGGCCCACCTCACAGGAACTGAGCAGGGACATGAAGGTAAGAGGTGCACATTATTAAGAAATCTCTTTGCAGCATTCTTGAGTTCAGTTCTCAGGTTCTAGAAAAGGCAGGTATTTAATATCTATTGCTGGTATTACCTGCCTTCTCTGTTGCTTTACCTCTAAGAAATCCTGGGCTAGGGGATACAGAAGCATCTAAGAAATCCTACTTATGAAGATCATAAATTGGGATGATAAAAAATCGGCATGTTTGAAGGGAGAAACCCAAAAGAGTCTTATTCCTGTGGGCACATGCTTGTTTAAACAGAAGTTTCCTGCCAGATACCTTGTCCTGCCCGAGCCTGTCAGTGCTGCTGCTCATTAGGTTGTGCCTGGACCACAAAGACAGGACCCATATTCCGAGAATGTCTACATCACACTCACGGAAGGCTGGAGTGGAAAGAAATCTGAGTAAGTTGCCTGGAACTTGGAATCCATAGAAACCTGGCCCTAAAGTTATAGAGTCTCAATGGTGTTAAGTTTGTTTTAAACTCACAGAGGCCTGGCCCTCAAATGTAGGATCAAGGGCATTCGTGAATGTCCTTTTGGATCCAAAAGGACAAAGGAGAATGCTCTATTTTCCTGGGGGCTGCATTGGTCCTTTTCTCTGGCATCACATAATCTCACTATCTGTTCAACCAACCCCACTCCTACCTTCAAAGATTTAACAATCCTGTTTGCCAGGCATTCAGGATACAGGATATGGATTTCAGTCTAAAGGACAGCACACAAACAAGTAAACCAACAAGGCAGTCCAGTGTGCTGGGCACTGACAGAACTGTGTAGTGTGTGTGAGGGCAGGGGACACTGGGGAGGGCGTAGACACAGCATACCGGATAAGTGCACAATTCACTGGCTGAGTCCAGTGTTGCTGGAACCCAGGGACCTTAGGGTGGTAGGGCAGCAAGCACTGAGACTGAGGCAGAAAGGTCTTGTAGTCCTGGAGCCCTTCATTCTTCATCAGCTGGGCTCACCTTAGAAAAAGTTCCACAATCCTAGTCTTCCTTTCTCCATTCAGTCCTATCCCCTAAGTAAACAAATAAACCCACATGCTAGAGACAGTCACTAAAAATTTCCACAGAGATTTTACTTACATGGGAATTTTAATTACATAACATGATATTAAGTAAAAAAAAAAAAATCAGGATACAAAATTACATACAAAACTGAACATAATGCATAGTAACAGATTAAAAACAATGAAAAATTTGGGGGAAAAAAAGAGGCCAAAAATAGAACTACAGTAGTCTCTGAATAATGGAATTGTGGGCAAATTTCTTAAGTGTTTTTTGTTATACTTATCTGCACCTGCCATTTTTTATTTTTAGAACTTTGTTATTAATACTCAGAAAAATATAGTAAAATGTTAAAGATCCCATACCTTCAGATCTCAGTAGAAGACAAAAAGGAAAGCAATTTGATAAAGGAAATTCATTTAGTGTGATGATCCTTGGCATAATTCTCTGAGATTTTTACATTTAAAAATTTTACTCATTTGTTAATAACAAACATGTCCATATGAGTTGTACAAAAGTCACACATTTACTCATCCTTTTGGTTGTAGATGGAAAAGTCTCATCCTTGGAACACAGTCACCCTGTTTCCCATCCTGAAGACCACTATTACTAGATACATGGTTAGGACAAATTTCAGAAGTAGAACTGCTGGGTCAAAGGGTATGTCTATTTGTCATTTTGATAGACAGCACCAAACAACTTCCAGAAATGATGTGCCAGGTTTTTAATGCCATCAGAAATACACAACAGTGCCTATTTTCCACAGCCTTACCAATGACATACATGTTTTCAAAAGAGAACGTAAGTCACAAGAGAAATATAATTTTGCAAACTTGTAAAGATATTTTACATTCACTAATTCATCCACTAATTAGTTATTGAAAACTATTATGTTCCATGCACTGTGCTAGGTCTTAGAGAACAATTTCCAAATGCAACACATATTTGAGTAAGAATTCTAGGGTCGGCTATTTCTAGCTTTTCAACTTTTCTTTCACTATTTCTAAGTTGAAAGGGTTTTTTTTTGTGTGTGTATGTTAACATTTCAACCATTTTCCTTAACTTATCAGGTTTTACAAAAAATAGGATTTGAACTAGCACTAGCACAAGATTTTAAGAGTCATCCGAGACTATCTTTCTCATCCTTTATAGCACTGTTTTAAAATGTTCCTCAACTTCTTAGGGGCTTTTATCCCTAAAAAACTAGCAAGGCACAGAAGAATCTGATGGTTTAGGATTCAAATCTCAGCCCTGCCATTTACTCTGAGACTTTACTCACTATTTTCTCTTTCAGACTTTGTTTTACTCATCTGTGAGAAAGGGGCTTATTACATCCTCACAGGATAGTTGTGAGATTAAACAGATTAAACAGCAAGTGCTTAGTACAAAGTTATTTTGCTCAAGAAATATTACTTTTCCCTCAACTATGAGGTCTCTCACAGAGCACACTGAAAGTACACTGCTTTTTATATTCCCCACAGAGCTATGCAGTCAGCAGACATTTGGTTAATCTGCTGAACGAATGAGTCACAACTTCTCTTTCTGAATGAACATCATTCCTTGAAGGCAGAGGAGATGAGACATCAGAACTGTGTATGAGGAAATCCAGAATGGAACACACTTAGTTTGATGCAGACAAAATAAAAATTTCTCCCTAAGTGTTAAAATTAGTAGGCACTTGTTATATTTATTATCACTACGAATATCTTTATGAATAACATCTGTTCATCCTCCTACATGAATTATCTCATTTAATCTTTACAGCCTGCCTTTGAAGTAAACACTACTACACTATTGTTAACATCAACCCTGGGGATGTTATCTTAAAGCTCAGAATAGTTAGGTCACTTGCCCAAGGTCGCAGAGCCAGTCAGAGGCAAAACTTCCCACCTCCCAAGTCAATGTGCTTAGTGATGTGTTCACATGTTTTGTCTCAAGCCCGAAACTCAGCTTCCAGGTGCCTTACTCAGCACAGGGACAGGCACCTCTGGAGCACCTCACAAATGTGTGTGGGTTGATGGAGCTGATGCCGAGGAGACTTAGAACTGTACAGTTCAATATGAATCAATCTAATCAAGTAAAGTTATGGAAAATCAGTATCCTATGTCTCTGAAGACATTCTTCAGAGATTATGTTTTTCAGAATTAGAAATGTTACATAACTACTGTTGAGTAATTAAAAAAAAAATATTGTCCAAAACTTAAACAAACGAAAAAAAAATCAGGGATCTGCAACTAGAAAGAGGTTCAACTTAGCAAACTGGTACTCATCTTTACTGGATATAACACTACCCACAAAAAGGATGGATAGTTTACTGAATTATTCCTCAAGTTAGTGACTTCCTAAAACCATAAGCAGAGTCTGACAGAGAGTAGATTTTCAATAAATGCATGAGTAGTGGGTAATTGGTAAAATATTGTATTAAAGGAAAGATCTTCAGGCTGGCTTCATTCCACAGTTAACAGCTGTGGATTTCTGGCATAACCCAGAGAAAGGAACAATCTTTAGCCATCTCATCTAGTCTGATGCTCAGCTCTTCCACTCATTACCAGGGTCTTCATCTGCAAACAGGGTCAATTTATTTCTGTCCTCCCTTTGTTATCAGATAAGTTTTCAAAATGAGAGTTTTGCTTTTGTTTCACATAGTCAGTGAATTCTCATTAATTCAGATTTTATCTGAGCTAAAGACCTCTAAAACACTGTGAACGGGGGCCTCCCTGGTGGCGCAAGGGGTTAAGATGTAACCTATGAAACAATACGCAGCCACTGCAGGATGAGTTTGATCCCTGGGCAGGAGCTGCCCACATAGTGCAACAGACCTCTCCTGACTGGCCAGCTGCTCCCCTCAGCAGTGTACTTTGGTCAGTCTGCCTGTTCTGTTCCCCGCTCTGTCTCTGGCGAATCCTCCCACCCACCACACCTCTGGCCTGTGCCCCAGTTCTTGTATGCATAAATAAAAAAAAATCTTTAAGAAAAAAACAAAACACAACACTGTGAATGTAGAGTATAAAAAAAATGAAATAGGTTGATGAGATTTAACCAATGAAGGATAAAACTTTCTATATAGCATATGCTTGATCAAACAATCTCGCTTGTCCTTTCAATATGAGGTCCCAAGGAGGGCCATCAGGAAAGTACATGTAAGATAGCCCACCCACGGTTAAAAATAATAAAACTAAACGGCACCTTTTTGAATGATTTTTAATATTGACCTTTACAAAACAGTCTTGTGTCCCTAGCCCCCTCCATTCACTGTTTATTGTCAGTGAAGTTTGGGAAACATTGAGAATGCCAAAAACTAGGTCAATGATAAATAAATCAAACAAAGTTCTGGTTACTGCTTTCAAAGGAGTCCATGGTCAAGGCAGAATTTAACTACTATTTTTAAAAGTGCCTCACACTGAGAAATGCCTCTGCAGAAAGGACAGTTTTAGGAAAAAATAATTTCCTGGACTTTGCTATCTTTAAAAACCCTGCCATGCCTACATCACAAAATGCTTCTGAGGAGCAATGGGAACATGAATGTTAAAGTCAGGTGCTATGAGACTACCTTGGGTGTCAACTTGGTGACTGTGTTCTACGGTGGAATGGCAAAACCAGTCCCCTAGGCTAGCTCCATAGAAGCAGGCATGGCCTGGCTCAATGACCATATGGAAGAGCTGCTTCTGACTTCTGCAAGTTCTCTAGTCAGTGGGGGAAACAAAAGCACCACCACTCAGCGGTACTTTGCTCCCACTGCTCAGTGAAATAAGGAAACAACCCATTATCATCCCTAGTTGGTGTGAGGAGCAGAGAAGTAGGGGTCTTGGCAGTCATGCACCAATTAAGGCCACTTCAAAGAATCTCAGCCAGAAAAAACTTGGTGGCTTCTTCCCTATTTTACAAACTATATTTCTGGCAATGATTTATTGGATATGACACCAAAGACACAGACAACAAAATGTAAAATAGACAAATCAGACTTGACAAAAATTTTAAAACTGCATGCATCAAAAGACACTATAAACAGAGTAAAAAGGCCACTTACAATGGGACAAACTATCTGCAAGTCATAAATCTAATAAAAGCTTCATATCAAAAATATGAAGTTATTAAAATTATCAAAAATAGAGAACTCCTGGGCCTGCCTCCCTGGTGGTGCAAGGGGTTAAGCACCGCACTATAAAGCAATCCACAGCCTCTGAAGCACAAGTTCTATCCCCGGTTGGCCAGGGAGCAACCCACATGATGAGGCAGACCTCTCCTGTCTTGACTGCTGCTCCCATCAGCAATGTATTTCAGTCTGCCTGTTCTGTTCCCCACTCTGTCTCTGGTGGATCCTCTCACCCCCTGCATATCAGGTCTGTACTCCAGCTCTTGTATGCATAAATAAATAAATCTTTAAAAAAAAAAAGAACTCCTAAAAATCGATAATAAAGAAACAATCTGATTAAAAAATGGGCAAAGGATTCAAATAGACATTTCTCCAAAGAAGATGTACAAAAGGCCAATAACAACATGAAAAGATGTTCAACATTACTAGTGAAATGCAAATCAAAACTATGAAATACCAGTTCATACCCATTATGATGGCTACTATCAAAAACTCAACAATAACAAGTATTGGTAAGTATGTGGAGAAACTTTAATCTTGTGCACTTTGGTGGGAATGTAACATGGTACAGATGTGGAAAATAGTAAAGGCAGTTTCTCAGAATATTAAAAGTATAATCACCACGAGATTTGGCAATTCTATTTCTGGGTATAAACTCAAAGTAATGGAAAGTGGGGTCCAGAAGTGATTTGTACACCCATGTTCACAGTTGCATTATTCACAATAGCTACAATGCGGTATATGCATACAATGGAATATTATTCAGCCTTAAAAAGGATCAAAATTCTGACATTTGCCACAACACGGTTGGACCTGAAGGATATTATGCTAAGTGAAATAAGCCAGTCACAAAAAGGCAAACATTGTATGATTCCACTTATGAAAGGTACTTATCAAAATCAGAGACAGAAAGAATGG